CAACATAGGGTGAGAACGCGGAACAGGGGAGGTAGGACGAGCACGAGATGGACGACGAGACCAGACGTGGGATGTAGAGTCGGGTCAGGAGAGGGGGGAGGAGACACAAGAGGAGAACGGGAAGGGAAACGAGCCAAAGAGGAGTCCGGGGGAGGAAACACTGGGCCGTGGACCGGCAGAGGAGGAGGCGGGGAAGATGGGGGAGGCTTAAGCAGGTGGTTAGGGGAAGGAAGACCGAGTAGGCGAAGAGCGGACACCGGCGGCAACGGCTGCGACTGCTGCCCGACTCCAACACCAGAACCTCCAGCGACAACACGGCTCCCTCCGAGAAGCCCCACGCCAGCACCCCTAGAGCCCACTCCAGAACCGGCTCTTGCCCGCTCCCCAGCACCCCCAGAACGCACGAACCCAAGCGGCGGTGACGACAGCGGCTGCGGCTGTGCCTGCGGCAGCAGCGGCGGAGGCAGTTGCGGCTGGGACAGCAACGGCGGCGACAGCTGAGGGGAGACCAAGGCGGGGGAAGACACTTCGCCGAGCCACGAGAGGCAAAGACTCCTCGGCAGGGACAACAGACGGGAGGGGGGTGAAGTGAGACACACCAGACAGGGCACGGCGTGGAGGGAGGGGAACAGGGGCGACCGGGGGAGGGGGGGGAACCAGGAACTTGGGGGGAGTGACCGGGAGACCACGGTGGGGAAAGCGGTAGTAGAAGGAGACGGACTTGTCAAAAGTGACGTCACGAGAGTGAAAGAAACGGTGAGAAGGTGGGTGGTAGAATTCCCAGTCAGCAAGTCGAGGGGGAAAGCTAGGAAGATACAGGGGACAGTGCGGGCAATGAGCTTGTCCATGACAGAGGCACAAACGTGAGCAAGGCAGCCCCAGATGTGGAACGCAGACGCGGCACCAGGAGACCCGGTCCAGAGGAGGGTCGGCGAAACCTGCAGCCGCTGAGGGTGCGGCCACAAGTTAAGCTGGTGGGCGGCGTAGCGAACGGCGAACAGCCACAGAAAAGGGGGTGCACCGGCATGGAGCATGGAGGTACGAGCCACCTCCATGACCAAGCTGATGCTTCGCTCAGCGACCCCATTCTGCTGTGGGGAGTCTGGCAGGGTGAATGTCTGGGTGATGCCCTCCAGATGTTAGAAGCGACCAAGACAGCCAGAGGCAAACTCGACACCACAATCAGAGTGAAGGCGCAAGACAGGGATACCTCGGTGAACACACGCAGAGACAAGCCACGGGAGAAGAACGTCAGGCACGTCGGCCTTCCGCTCCAGGGGAAACACGGTGGTGTAGCGTGTGTAGTCGTCGACAAGCACTAGGAAGTAGCGCTTGCAACGTGGCCCATGGACGGGGGCGTGGCTCCAGACGTCCATGTGCAAGGTCTGCAACGGTGCGGAGGTGGGGGGGCACGAGGAGGAGTGAGGGGCACGGCGGAGCCGGCCCTCGAGGCAGGGCGTGCACGGAGGCGCGGGTGAGGAGGGGAGCGCAGGGAACGACTCAGGGAGGCCTAGGACAAGACGGTGCTGGGACATGTGAAGGAAAAGGTTAGAGCAGGGTGACCTAGACGGTGGTGCCACAGAAGCGACGGGTGAGTAAGCGATCGACACAAGCACGTCGCAGCAACCTGGGAAGACGCTGCTATCTGGGGAGGCGTCCCAATCGGGGGGGGCGCGGTGTCCAGCGGGAACAGGCCAAACACCGGGTCCCGGGGGAACGTGGTGAGGGGGGCACCTGTGGCGGCCTCAGTACAGACCGTGTATTGCTCGTGCCCAGGGAACGTAGCGGTGACGCCAAGGTCCTGGAGGAAGCCGACACCAACTAGGTTCCTAGAGAATGAGGGGATGTGCTGGCTTGTAAGGGAGCCCAAGGGAACCGCCAGACAAGGGAGAGTAGTGGAGCTACGTGCAACTACAGGACCGGAGGAAGGGTCAGCAAGAGCAACTGCAGCGGGAGCGGCAAGCGGCATAAGTATAGTGAAATCGCGAAAGGAACACCGGGAAGTGGCGGAGTCCAGGGTGAAGGAGAGCGCGGCAGCGGCGACAGAAGTCGGAGAAGTGAGGGAGGACACAAGGCTAAACAAGGCAGGGGATCCTACGCTTGACGCAGCAGGGGAGCCTGAACTAGCCACGCTGGGCACACCTACACTAGACAACAAAGGGTAAGAGGAACCAATCACACTAGAGTCATCGACATACAGCACATACAAAGCAGAGCTAATCTCATCCATGTCCATGTCAAAGATCCTAACACTACGACGAAGCAGACTGTGCCTGTCAAGGAGGTCAGGCGACCTGCCGAAGTGGAGACGAAACAGGTCGTCTAGGCGACGGAAGCAACGAGTGGGGGTATGGCCGATCTTACCGCACACGAGGCCACGGCGAGGACCGGTCTGGAGCTGGTACTGGCAGTGCTCGTCACTCTGACCACAACCCAACGGCACTCCGCGTGCATGACCACTGCGACCACCGTCACTGCCGGCTCCAGGCCACCCAGGGGGGAGATGGCCGACCTGCCGCTGCTGGTGCTGTTGCTGCTGCGGCGGCTGCTGCTACTGCTGCTGCGGGTGCTGCGGCTGCTGCTGCTGCTGGTTCAGTGACAACGCCTGCTGCTGCTGCTACTAGGACTGCTGCTCCGAGGCACCAGCCCCAGCCCCCTTGTCAGTACTACCAGCGTACGAGCCACCTCCACCACCGGCAGCACCCCCTCCTCCACTACCTCCGCCGCGCCCAGTCTTGGGGCGGCGACCCTTACCCGGACGAAACTGCACTGCGGCGGCTGTCGCCACAGCCAGAGCTGTCTCAGCAACCGCATAAGAATCGTCGGAGTAAGCGCACTGAGTAGGGGTACAGCCCTGAAAGATAGAGACCGGCACGGTACCGCTAGACTGGGCGATAGAGCGCTGACGAGTCTCTACGGCAGACAGGGTGTCAATAAAGTCAGTGAGGGTGAGGTCAATGGGGTGGAGACTAAGGAAGTGATTGCGGGTGGTGGCAAGGCGGTCAGGGATCACCCTGTGCTGGTTGAAGGAAGAGTTGGCGATACCCGCATCAAAATATTTGTTGATGGTGGGGCAAGCCACAGTTTGATGGATGTGACAAAAGCAAAGAAACTCTGTCGTGCCCCCTTATTCAGCCAGGAATGGTCGATAGCCCAAATCGGCACTATAACCTGGTGGGAGTGTTGGCGTTTGGGCGATGCAGTCAAGTCAGTAGGTGGCCCATCTGCTACTGACGATCTCCATTTCCCGGCTTCTTCCCATCGTTAGCTAAGTTCTTCTTCAGCTGCGGGTAGTCCCTCACCATGTGGCCCGGCTGGTTGCAGTGAAAACAGCATCCGGAAAATACATGGGCTGCAAACACGTCCACGCCCTTGATTGATGTGTGTTGGGGTTGGCCTCGAAAGCGATTTCCTTCTCGGAAACCAGCCCTCGTGTGTCCACACCTTGCGTCCAGCGCAATCGCGATTCGAACAATTTCATTCAATGTTGCCGGGGCTCGCAGGATGATCTCTTGCTGAATCTCTGGCTTGAGACCACCCACGTAGCGATCGATCTTCTCGTCTTCGTTAAGCCATCCGATTTGATCGCATAATGCCAAGAACGAAGCCGTGTATTCTTGGACAGAGCTCAATTGTCTCCACATCCGAAGCCTTGTGCGAGCGTTTTCGCGCATGGATGTGTTCGAATCGACTCTTCAATAGTGCGCCCCACGCTTTCTACGTGCGGATCGTGGCCGACCCAAAGATCAGTTCTGCCAGAGCCGTTGATGAACCGTGCTCCCCATCTTTTGCCCGTTGATTCCCTGCCGGGGCTCCTCCCTCGCCTAGATGCATGCGTCACTAGTCGAGTGCTGGTCCCCTCCAGCAGCGACATCGCCAAGTTGACACGTGACGCGTTGTCATGAATACTTGCTGATGTTAAGAAGATTTCCATAGAGAACAGCCAACCGCTCACTGTAGTTGTTCTGTCGGTCGGGTTGAACGGCGGTGGCATCGGAGCTTTGATTTTAATGTCCGCCCGCGGCTTGCTGTGGACTTCTTCAACTGCTTCAAGTGTCGCCGACGCCCTCGCTTCGCTCGCAGCATCTTCGTCTCGGGTAACAGACGGCCCCTGACGCATTTCACCCCGCGTCTGGCGAAGCGATGAGTTTTTGTTGCGCAACGTCTGTACTTCGCTTCCCAGCGACTCGAACTTATCGGCGAGTTGTTGAAGTTGGGCCTACAGTGTCGTCACTGTAGCCGCCCTGGCTTGCAGCTCGTCAACTCCTCCAGAGTCACGTTCCTAACACTACGACGGACAGAGGTTTCCGGCGTGGTAGGCATGTTGGAATTTTTACGTGACAAATCTGAGGGTGCACACAATTCTAGTTGGAGGAGTTTTAACGAGGTCACCTTCCAACCGCAGGCCAACCCTCTTTTCTGCCGGGTCCTCTCCCGATATAAACGGACTACTCTACGGAAGACTAAGCGGGCAAGAACGGGGCTCTGATACCAGCTGTTATGAATTAATCAAAGTAATAACAGGTAGTGTAATAAAGGAGTCGTGATTCAAGAGTGTCGATACAAATGAGGGCCTAGGCATTGATAGGCACGAACAGAGCTAGCCGAGAACCACGCGAACAGGTTGAGGCGGTCCGGTTGGCGAAAGCTACGGAAGCGCCGCGCGTCTAGGTTTGGTTTCGCGAAGTGGTTTGGGACCAAAGATGTTTGTTGGGCCTAGACTTCCAAGAGTCGAGGGCGTACGCGCTGTAGTGGAGCCCAGTAAGGAAACAGAATTTCCTTACACCTGGCCAAAATAGGGTAACCCTGTCAATATCGGGGGGGAAACCAAAACCTTAGGATCTGGTTTTCTGCTTCTTGATACCCTAGCTTTAGCCAATTCTTTTGCTAGAAGTGGCGAATTTACGCACTGTCATTGGCGGCGTGATGACTGCATATCGGGTATGGCGAGCAGCAGAGGCTGAGAGAACCCGAGGGAGTGTGCCCACTACAACAGTTCGTAGCCGACTTCTGAAGTTAGGACGCCCAGCAAGAGTTGACGAGTAGAGTCGACCTGTAAAGGTTCGTGCGGAGTATGAGTAACAATACAACCCATTAGGTAGCAACATTTTAAGGCACGTGACGCGCCACCTGACGATCCACCTGACGATCCACCCGACGATTCTGCGTGCACTGCCGTCGTGGCTTCGTCAGGATGAGGGTGAAGCGGCAGCGCGAGGTGCGGCGCCACGTGCGCTTCTACCGCACGTGCTGCGGGTTCCGCGAGCCGTTCAAGGTGGTGTGCGACGGCACCTTCCTGCACCACGTCACGCGCTTGAAGCTCTCGCCGCCCGCCGCGTCGCTCCCAAAGTTGCTGGGCTTCCCCACGCGCGTCCACATCACACGGTGCGTGGCAGTCAGGTTTTTGCGCTTCCGCAGCATTCAAGGCGGGGTGCGACGGCGCCTCTCTGCACCACGTCACGCGCTAAAAGCTTTCCTCGCTCGCCGCGTCGCTCCCTAAACTCCTCGGCTTTCCGAAAAGGGTCCACATCACGCGGTGCGTGTCTGTCACAGGGTGTTTCCACGTCATACGGCAGTCCACGTCACACTCTGTCTCTTCTAACCCACTCTGACGCTGAGCGGAACTGCATGCACACGTTGCCTCGCCTGCGCGCCCCATTCTCTATCGCGTCTCGTTGCGAGTCGGCAGTCTCAAAGGGTAGAACGGCATGTGCGCGCGCCTCCTCAGCGCGTCCCATTTCTTATGGCGTTCTGGTCACCGCTTCTGTCTCGGAATGTGGCTTCGTTCTCAAACTCCCATCAACTGATCTCGTGCGCGCGCCACCTCACCTGACTCGCCGGCGCGGATCCTGTTAAACCCCTCGCACTACCCTTTCCAACCCCTCAAAACCCCTTGCAACTACCTATGATGTCCTGACGAGCCCTGGGAACATGGGTAACCCGTTGATATCCATCCTGACCAGCTCTAACTCTACGCCTTTCATTGACGCCTCTCGTTTCTTCGACTCATCCAGTCATGGCACCACCATGCTGCTCCCTTCTTGCCTTTCACCGCCACAGTACCACCACATCCGCATCCCCGAGTCCCACCAGTTTTCCCTCCCGCGTGATCCCTCCTTACCGCCCTCGCCTCCCCAGCCTTCCTCGCCTCTACCACCCCCTCTCCCCCACTTCCCCCCCCCCCAACCCCCAAACCCCGCCCCGCCCCCATCCCTCCAGTGCATCCTGGCCGAGCGGCAGCAGCTGAGGAACCGTTTTCAGCATTCACGAGAATCTATTGACCTCTCCCTGTTCCTCCCGCCCCCCTCTCTCGCCGCCCTCAGGTGCATCCTGACCGAGCGGCAGCGGCCGGAGGACGGCTCCAAAGACGAGTGAATGAAGAGCAGCACTGCCCTCTCCACCCCCCTCTTCTCCCCCTCTCCCTCTCTCCCGCTCTCCCGCTCTCCCGCTCTCTCCCTCTCCCGCTCTCCCGCTCTCCCGCTCTCCCGCTCTCCCCCTCTCCCCCTCTCGCCCTCTCGCCCTCTCCCCCTCTCCCCCTCTCCCCCTCTCCCCCTCTTCCGCTCTCCCGCTCTCCCCCTCTCCCCTTCTCCTACCGCTCCCTGATTCTCATCCCAACCCGTCCATGTCTCAGGTGCATCTTGGCGGAACTTCAGCGGCTGGGGACGGCTTTAAGGACACGCGCTTTGCAGCCCGACAGCTGGAGATTGCAAAGTATGCCACGTGGGATGGACACTGCCACGTGGGATGGATGCCTAGATACTGCCACGTGGGATGGATGCCTCGATACTGCCACGTGGGATGGATGCCTAGATAGATACTGCCACGTGGGACGGATGCGTGGATATTACCATGTGGGAGGAGCGAGGGAGGGCGGAAGAGGGGGGCAGGGTGGGTGCAGCCATGACTGCAGTCTAGCCCTGAGAGCACTGGGTTCATCCAGCACGTGGTTACCAGCATTTAGCAACTGGTATAGTGTGGTAACAGATGGTAACATGTGGTAACCAGCGATTCAATCTTTGTTCTCACCTTCACTTCACCCCTCTGTGGCCGCCCCCCCCGGCCCACCCACAATGACAACCAGTCAGTGACTGCATCATCGTGGTGGTAACCAGTCAGTGACTGCATCATCGTGGTGGTAACCAGTCAGTGACTGCATCATCGTGGTGGTAACCCGTCAGTCAGCTTGCATTCAGCATCTTGTTACGGTGGTAACCAGCAGCACTTCGTCCTCTCTCTCGCCCATCTTGTCCAGCTTCCCATCACCAGGTGCAACCTCAATGCCGCCCACTCAGTGACCACCTCCTCCAAGAGCATCCAGCACCTGGTTACAGGTGGTAACCAGCAGCATTTGTTCCCTGCCTCCCTTTATCCCCCCTCCCCATCTCCCCCCCCCACACTCCCTCCACACCCCCCCCAACCCCCCCCGTCTCACCAGGTGCACACACGATGCCAACCAGTCAGTGGCCACATCAGAGTGCATCCAGCATCTGGTGGCAGGTGGTAACCAGCAGCACTTCTTCCCTGCCTTTCCGTTATCCTTCCATCAACCACCCCTTTCCACCCCTCCCCACCCCCCCCACCCTCCATCCATCTCACCAGGTGCAATCATGAAGCCAACCAATCAGTGACAGCGTCAGAGTGCATCCAGCATCTGGTTACAGGTGGTAACCAGCAGCACTTCTTCGTTGCTTCACAGGACATCGAGTTTAAGAAGCTTCTCAAGAAGGTTCGTTCCGAGCCCCCTCCACAACCCCCTTCATTCAAAGCCGTCAAACCCGTTCCACAATTCCCTCCAATCTTCAGAATTCTCTCCAGCCCCCTCCAATTATTGCAATCCTTCCAATCCCCTCCAAGCCCCTCCAAACTCTTCAAACCCCTTCCGGAATCCCCTCTAGGGCCCTCTCCATGCTCTTTTGGGCCAAAGCGGTTTCCCTTGGTCCGTTGGGTTCCCCCTTTTCTGGTCTTGTTCTGGTCTGGTTCAAGCGAACCATTGATATTTTAGTTGAAGTGTTGTGGAGGTGGATGGAGTGTTTCTTGCTCTGAGTGCTGCTGCATCCAGTCACACACCCCTCCCCGTTCCCCCCAGGTCCCTGCAGTTCCATATCGTCACTGCCAATGGAGCTTCTACAAGCCTTGGGCCTTGTTTCGTGACATCTCAAATCACCTCCCCTCTCCCCCCCCGCAACCCCTCAAGGCTCCTCCAGTCCCCTTCTGCTTTGGCCGGCCTCCCCTCATCCGTTCACTTTCTTCCCACCAGTCAAATCCCCTCTTCCCCTTGCTGCCCCAGGTTCCTGCAGTCCCCATCATTTCAGCCATTTGCACTTCCATCAGCCTCGAGCCTCCCCCACCCACTCCTTCCCCCCCCTTTCCCCCTCTTTTCCGCCCGTCTCCCCATACATGATACATCCCCTTTCTCCTCTCCTCCCCTTTCCCATGCTCCAGCAGTCCCCATCATCTCAGCCAATGGCACGTCCATTAGCCTCGAGCCCCCCCCCCCCCCTTCGCCCTTCGACCTCCCCCTCTCTAAGGAAGCCGAGCCTGCCTCTTCAGTCAACAAGCACTATTTCCCCCACTCTCTCCCTTTGCCCCCCTCAGGTTCCTGCTGTGCCAATCATTTCAGCCAACAGAACTTCACTCTGCCTTGAGCCCTTATCGCCCCTCAACCTTTCCCGCTCCTCCCCCCATCCGTTTCCTTCCTTCCCTCCCTTCGTGCCCTCCCGCCCTCCCTCAGGTTCCTGCAGTGCCAATCATCTCAGCCAACGGAACTTCAATCTGCCTCGAGCCCCCATCGCCTCTCGACCTCTCCCTCTCTAAGAAAGCTGAATCTGCCCGGCTTGGGCTGCCCGGGCACGAGCAGCAGCAGCTGCTGCTGGCGCGGGCAGCCAAGCGAAAGAAAAAGATTGAGGAGACGCAAAAGGGGCTAGTTCCGACCGTGGTGGATGTCGGCTTTGCAGGGCAGAAGGGTGCAGTGGGGGGTGTGGAAGCAGCGACAGGGGAGGGAGGAGGAGAGGGGGAGGCTGGTGTTGGGAGTGAGAGAGAAGGGGATGGTGGAGCAGGGGCTTTTGGGAAAGAGGAAGGGGGAGGGACAGGAGGTGTGGGTGGAGGGGTGGGAGGGGTGGATGGCAACCCTTATGGGTATGAGTATGATTCTGCGGAGGAGGAGACAAAGCCGGAGTGGAAGCGGCTGGGGTATGTGAAGGACCGAGCCAAGTTCAAGAGGAAGAGAGTGAAGGTGAGAAGGAGGTGCGCCGTGGGTGGGTGGGTGGGCGTGTGTTGGGAGTGTTGTGGCCGAGTCTGGGAACAGGTAGGACTGGGAGGCAGAGAACGACGGCGAGGAGACGAAACTGGAGTGGAAGGGGCTGGCTTGTGTGAAGGGCAGGGCCGAGAGGAAGAGAGTGAAGGGTAATGTAAGGGGGGTGAGTGAGAGAGAGTCAAGGTGAGGCTGAGCCATGAGGGGATGCCGCCTGGTTCACATGGCTTCCATGTGTGCAGTGAGCTGTCGGCTTTCCGTGTCCTGTCCTCTCTCACACTGCAGGGACCCAACCCAACCCTCTGATGTGGAAAATTCGTGGTGAGGCGAAAAAATGAGCGAAGAGTCTGATGTTCGGACTCTAAATATGTTTTACATGCTGGTATGTTGTGTCCCCTCTCACCCTGCCTGCAGGGACCTAACCCTCTGTCGTGCAAGAAAAAGTCTCGGCCGGCGCCCGTAGCAGGGAGTAACGATAAGCAGGAAGGGGGGGAGGGAGCAGGGCCACGAAAGCGGCAAAGGAAAAGGCGTAAAGGGGGTCAAGCAAGTGAAGGGGTTGTGGTTGGTGAAAATGGTGGCTCTGGTAGATCTGATTAGGTGATGCCTACAAATAATGTTGAGCGTGGTGCCTATGTCAACAAAAACGCTTTGCTTGTTATCAATGCTGTGTCTCGACGCCTATTTTTTAACCTGGAAAAGGACTTTATCAAGTGTAAGGAATACTTGTTTCCACAACTAGGTTTCGTTTAGGCCGAACTTTACAGTGCTCTTATGGGTGAGCGGATTCACGTACAAAAGGAGACACCTTGAAGGCTTGCTCGGGCAATAATTGCGGTTCTGCGCGCTCCCCTCCCACTCCATCCGTGCTCCCCGCTGGTCCTTGTTTCACAGCCTCGAGCCGAGAGTCGAGAGTCGAGAGTCAAGAGAGCGAGTCTCAGTGAACGATGGGAGATGTCTCTGCCGCAAACGGCGCTCACCCGTGGCTTCAACAACGAGTCCGTGTCGCCCACCCGGCCACATGCACTCATTCTGTTCGGTGTGTGTTAAAGAGCCTTGTTTCTCGTGCATTTCCAGCAGTAGATCGTCGCTCCTTCCTTTGATCCTTCGGCCGCTATTGTTCGTTCATGGCGCAAACTGCTAGGGACCTGGAATTCAGTCCTCGTTTGCCCAGTTCTCACCCAGGAGAAGGAAAGCTTGAACCAACTCGACGCAAACGACTAGAATTTTTTTTTACTTAGCAGCACTGGCTGCAGGCTGACTTCGGAACGTCCGTTCTAACGGTAGCAGTACTGACTCGTCCGACGAGCCCTTCTGGCTCCGTTATTCCTCAGGAACCATCGTAGCGTCTGCCGTTGGACAGGTTTCTGAGGATTCTCAAGAGCCCATTCAGGACAACGCCCTTCCAGCCACTGGTAGCGTACTGACTCGGCCGACGAGTCCGTCGCACTCGGCTGTTCATAGCTTCCTCGGATCCATCGTTCTGGCGTCTGCCGTTGGACAGACGCTAAGCCCTTCCAGCCACTGGCGCGCGAAGAATGTCGACGATGAGTGGAGGCGGCGTTACTACCGCGTGGGGCGTCTCTCCCGGGGTGAAGTTTGCGGTTTTCGCCAGCGTCGCCGCGGTCGTCGCAGTGATCGCCGTTTTCGCCGTCGGATGTTTCGTCAACACCGTGCGATCGAGGCGACTACGCGCTCAAGGCGCAGCGGCGGCGGCGGCAGCAGCAGCAGCAGCAGCAACTGCGAACGACGGCCCAGCAGCGACGGACAAAACGAGCATTCAAGTCTGAACCTGCGGGAGTGCTGTAGTAGGAGCATGATCTACGAGTATTCGCTTCTTGTTGAATCTGCTTCTTTTTGTTATTTCCCATTTCGCCTCAAGCGATGGTCAAAATATTCTTTCGCGGCGAGCTCACGGCTACTAAGTGTTCAGGCCTCCGATACCATCCACTGCGAGCCGGCGGCCTGTCGACGGCGATGCTTCACGCCACACGAGACCGGACGAGGTCCGCGGGGATGTCTAGTACATATATACCAGGAACCGGCATTCTGAATGCTCTGTTACCACCGACGTGGAAAGAACGCTATGTCCTGAAGTGTTCATAATTTTAATTTATGAAATATACAAGTTTAAACCAGTGTCACTGTGAGCGTGGGTGTTTGGTCTAGTGGCATGATTCTCGCTTAGGGTGCGAGAGGTCCCGAGTTCAATTCTCGGAACACCCCTCACTTTTCTATTCTTGGTTCACCACGTGGCTCTTCTTCTGGTCAGGGCCTCAGATTCATTTTGGGCACGCTGATCTCTCAAGGTCCCCCCTCGTAGCTCCCTGTTTTTTCAGCCCTCGTAGCCCCCTCATAAAAAAAAAATACGTTCATCAATCAGGGTGCTGTAAAAAAATTGCGTTGAATAAAAAGGGTCAACTACAAAAAACACGCTGTTTTAATACATGCCCCATCTTTTTCACAGGTTCCTGATTACAGTCTTGGTCGGTCACAGTCAAGCTGGTGTCATTGACAGGGAGGGTGGGAGGGAAATGCGGAAATCACGGGTGGGGGGTTGGGGATCCGTAATCCGCTATTCGACATTTTCCCTTAGCCACACAACTTTTTCCCGCTACTCTAACATGGTATAGAGCTAGGTTATATATTTTTTTCCGCCGTTTCTCACGCTTCCGCAGTTACTCCCGCTATCGCCGTTACTATAGCTTCTTATTTTCCGCGCACTGTAGCCTTCCAGTTTTGCGCACTGTAGCCTTCCAATTTTGCATTTCGTAGCCTCGAGCTCCCTCCCCCCCCTCTAGCATTCGATTTTTTCTTTCGTGCGGCAAATCGGCAGGCCGGCCATGCCAAACCAGCGCGCTAGTGAGCTCGCCAGCCAATGCGCCAGCTAGCTAGCTAGCTAGCCAGTTAGGCCAGCTCGCTAGCTAGCTCGTTAGCCAGCCTCACTAGCCAGCCGCCTTAGCCAGCTCGCCGCCAGCGGTGTTAGCCAGCTAGGCGCCAGCAGCGCCAGATAGCTTGCTGCCAGCAGCTTCCGCTAGCTCGCCGCCAGCAGCTAGTCGCCAGCACCACCAGCCAACTAGCTGCCCACGGCTTCCACCAGCTCGCCGCCAGCAGCTGGTCGTCCGCAGCGCCTACCAGCTAGTCGCTGGCCAGCTCGCCACTGCGAATGCCACTGCTGCTGCAGCCACAGTCAGCCGCTGCCACTGCAGCCGCCGCTGCCACTGCAGCCGCCACTGCCACTGCAGCCGCTGCCACTGCTGCTGCTGTCGTCGCCACTACTGCCAGTAGTGCCTCTCCGCGGCATCCACTACCGCTGCACTGCAGCTACTGCCACTGCCCCTGCTACAGCTGCCACTGCTGCCTCTTGCAGCTACTGCCACTGCCGCAGCTCCTGCAGTTACCGCCGCTGCAGCCACTTACGCCGCCGCCGCTGCCATTGTCTCTGCTGCTGCTGCCACTGCCGCTGCCGCCGCTGCCACTGCCGCAGCCGCTGCAGCCACTGCGCAGCCGCCACTGCCGCTGCCGCCCTGCAACTGCTTCAGTCCCTACCACTGCCGCAGCCACCGCAGCCACCGCTGCCACTGCTGCCACTGCCGCTGCCTACCTCCACTGCCGCTGCAGCTGCTGCCCTTGCAGCCACCGCTGCCGCCGCTGCCCTTGCAGCTGCCGCTGCAGCTGCTGCCCTTGCAGCGCCACTGCGCCACTGCCGCCACTGCCCTTGCGCCCGCCGCTGCCGCCGCTGCCCGTTGCAGCCGCCACTGCTGCCGCTGCCCTTGCAGCTGCCACTGCCGCCGTTGCCCTTGCAGGCGCTGCTGCCACGCTGCACTCATAGCCGTCTCTGCGCCGCTGCCCTTGCAGCTGCTGCGCTGCCTCCTGCAGTTGCCACTGCCACTGCAGCCACCACTGACACTGCTCTTGTTGCCAGCAGCCACCACTGCAGCCACTGCTGCCACCACTACCGTGGCTCGCCCGTAGCTACGCAGCCGACTCTGTTAGCCAGCTCACTGTTGGCCCACCGTCGTTACCATCCGCTGCTAGTTAGCAGCCGCCACTACCACCAGCTCCCGCTGCCCTGTCGCAGCTGCCCTTGCTGTCCCTGCTTGTGCCGCCTCTGTCTTCCCGGCCGCAGCTGCCAGCATGGCGTCGCCCGGCGTCTTCGTCCTGTGCTTGGATGGGGAGGGGTAGGTAGTCGGTTTCGCCGCCTGGCAGGAGGCAGTTCTCCTTCAGCTAACGAGTCAGCGCGTCGATGACGAGTCCCTGGACGCCCACGTCTCTGGTGAGCTACCTGCTGTCCCCCGTCCGGGTGCTCTTGCTATTGACGCGACGTCTGCGTAGCAGGCTGCACACTGCTGCTCGTACTGCCTACTCTGTCTGGGCATCCCGCGACGCTACTGCTCGCGTAGCCATCCTAAGGTGCCTGCTGGTTGACAAGCACTCCCACTTTGTGGGTGCTGCGTCAGCCCATGAACTCTGGCTGGCTATCTTTGCTAGGTACTCCACCCGTCGTCTGCCACTCTTGGTCGTCTCCTCCTCCCCTTCTTCCACCCTGACCTGACGTCCTTCACACACTGTAGCAGACTTAGTCAAGCACCTGCGCTCCTTGAGGCTCGCTGGCCGGCTTGTACAGAGGCTCAGCTAGCGCTCGCCCCGCCCCCCTCTTTGCCACGATCTACTTCCTTGTCACCCGCCTCCCTGACCGCCTAGCCCCTGCCCGCGACACGCTCCTCGCTCGCCATCCCTCTGAGCTCACCCTTGACCTCTTCTCCACCTCCCCGACTGAAGTAGAGGACCGCCTCCGCGCCTTCGCTGGTTCCACTGGTGCGCCGGCAGTCCCTATCTTTCAGGGCAGTACTCCCTCTCCAGTGACAGTCCCTGCCGCCTGTGTTGCTGAGATCGCAGCAGCTACCTCTGCCCCCGGCCGCTCCTCTAGTGGCAAGGGCAAGGGCAAGGGGGGCAAGGGTCGTGGGGGTCGGCAGCAGCGGGTGGAGGGGGTGCGGGTACGGATGGAGAGGGTAGTTAGTCAGAGTCGGGGACTGCGCAGCAGCTGCAGCAGCAACAATAACAGCACCAGCAGGAGCCGCATTAGTCGTGGGGCCGACGGGCCCTGGCGGAGGTGGTCGTGGTGGAGGCCATGGGGTTGTGGCCCAGGGCACTCAGGGCTTTGGGTTCGCGTGGCTCCTCTGTGAGTCTGGGTGCTGTGGTTCTGGTGGCCCGGTGACCTGCACGTACCAGATGCTGTCTGGCCCACATACGGGCGGCCAGGTGTGCCAGGGGCACACTGCTTCCGCCGTTTGGACGATCTCTACCATCGTCAGTTTGGCCCACTGGTGCAGGTACCCCCCTGGCATATCTTGCTTCGTCGTGGGGTTCCTATATTTGATATGGATATGCTTCAGCTCGATCATGCCTTGCTCTGTATTCTGATGCTTGTAGTGTTGTTAGTTCTTATTATCTTGCTGTTTGTAGCCTTGGAGCTACCGCTGTGTGTAGTCTAGGATCCCCTGCTGCGTCAAGTGTAGACTCCCCTGCTGCGTTAGGCGTAGGACCTGTTAGAGACTCACTGGGCTCCCCCACATCGGCCCTCTCCTTTGTCCTCGACTCTGGCGTGTCTCAGTGTTTTTTTTCGAGACAGTACTGCTCTCACCCTGCTTCCTGCGCCTGTCCTCGTCGCACTAGGTGACTCCTCTGCCATAGCCATTGCACATAGC